TTAATCATAATGTGTATCAAATAAATTTTGTTCAAGTATTTGATTTAATATTTTGGGTGGACGAATCACTAAATAATGAGGTTTAATTTATATTTTATTTCTTTAGAAAAAAAATCTACAATTGAAAGAGGCACATTCCTTTAAGTATTTTTATTCTTTAGAAAAGAAAAAAAAAACTACGATTGAAAGGACACGTTCCATTCGGTAAATATTTTGGATAATAAAATATACGTCTAACAACAACGATATAAATATGAGGCTCTATGTTTTAACTTTATGAATTTGCTATAACAAAAACTTTCTTAAGAAATTATGAATCCCATAAAATTTATTATTTTTTTTTCACTAGAATCGTGTATATCCATTGAGAAATGTTAACTTTGTAAAATAGTAAACTCATACAAGAAAATTAAGGCCATTCATAATTTTCTCTTACACTTGTCTTTCACTTTATTTCGTTTATATGGAATATGTTGATTGATTATTAATATTAATACACTATTTTGGAAATTTGTAAAAGCATGAAAAAAAAACTAATATATTACAGTAGATAATAAGATGGCATTAGCTAGAGCAATGACTTCAATTTTTCTAGATGTTATAAATTAATCGTTTTATACATCAGGAGAACCAATGTCATATATTTAGTAAATGACACAAAAGCTACCATTTCCTATCATGCCCTATAAAATAATTCAACAATTCAAATAGAATTGCCTTTCATAAACTTTAGTTTTCCAAAACAAGTTGTGCTGTAGAATAATGCATTGAGCATACATGCCATATAGATAGTAATGTTACGAATTTTTTTGTATAACATTAAGGAGTAACAATTTCATTCAAAGGCCAATCAAATAAATGTGAGCCCAAATTCTATAGCTCACTGTCTCAGGCCCAATTTTACACGGTGTTGAGTTTGTGACTGTCCGATCGAGGGATTCGATCTAGGCCATCAATTTCAATCTAACCTAAGTATAAATATGTGTGATGTGTTGTAGCGCCGCCATATTCTTATTTTCTCTCTCTATCATTCTTCTTGCTTCCTATCTTGTCTTCTCCTTGTAGAATTTCTCTCATCATTTTCTTCCTGTATGTAGTGTTAGATATTGATTCTTTGTTTTAAGCGATTTTATGAGTGGTTTGGCTTTTTGTCCACTGTTAATCAAGTGAACAAGCTGTTTACTTCGAAAGGGGAGTTGTAAGCCGAAGGTTGTAAGGGGATAGAGGCCGAATAGCTGTGAGTATCTGCTTTTACAGCTTCACTTTGAATCTGGTGCATTGATATCTTAGTAGTTTCTTCCTGATTATCTTTGTCTTTTATGAAAGTAATGATATGTATCACTTATATACAACACAAAATCCATTTATTATTATTATTTTTTTTTTTTGGTTTCCTTCTGGATCACTTGTATTTGATATGAGAGAATGACTCATTTTGGGATTTAAAGCTTTATTTTTTATCATTCCCTAGGAAATTGGGCAGCATGAAAAATTAACCAGCTAAACACAAGGAAATTGCTGCAGAAATATTTTGTTTGCAAGCTAAAGTTGAATCCCTAACTAATATCATCAATAGAAAGGTGCGCTTATTTTGCTTTGATTGGCCATTGTTTCTGTAATTGCCTTTCCATGTGCATTATATATATGAATTTAGTTGCTTGCAGATGTGCAGGCTAAAAAAATGGATGTGCTTGACTTCTAGATCAGCACAGAAAAATGATAAAGTACAAAACATGAAATCAAGGGTATGTGTTGTCAATCTAACTGCATTGTGATTAGTAGATTAATATTATCTCATTATGGTAATTTGATGCTGGATGACTGGGCTTACCACCTTTAGGATATAACAATAGGTTGAAGTGTAAACTATAATGTCAATAGATTTATATCTGGAAGTCGTACAAGAAAATAGAGCAACATGTGCAGGCTTTTTTTGGAAGGTAGATAGATCGATTAGAAATTTCAAAAGTTTTGGTGTATGGGTGGAGATCACTGGTTTAAAGATAACTGCAACAGACCTGAAGCATTCATAAGATGCATGCACATGAATCAGTTGACTCAAGGTTAGTATTCCTCAATTTGTTAAATTAGAAAGGTCGTAATGGATCTTGTGTTGACTTGGCCTGACACATTTGTAGCATCTTTGGGTGTCATTGTACTATTATTTGGAACAGTGTAAAGTTTCAAATTTAAATTGTACATCTGTTTTGGCATTGGATGTGTATTTTTGTTACTTACCAGAGCTATAGGCTGATATTTTTTGTTTACATCTTATGTTTATTACTATGACACGAATCCACAACGTTCAAATGCAAGTAAAAAAAGTCAATTGCCCATGCCGGAGCGAGTTCCGGTGCCCACGCCCAAGCCGGAGCAAATTCAAGTTCCCAACCACATCTGCCGCGCTCGGAGAAGCAACTTGGCTGGTGGTCTCCTTTTAATCCTGATCCGATAGGATGGATTACCTCTTGAGTCGTTTTCTGCTTGGGATCTAGATTGAAAGGAGACCACTAGCCAAACTGCTTCTCCGAGCGCGGCAGATGTGGTTGGGAACTTGAACTTTCTCCGACTTGGGCGTAGGCACCGGAACTCGCTCCGGCATGGGCAATCGACTTTTGTTTACTTGCATTCGAATGTTGTGGATTGGTGTCCTGGTAATAAACACAAGATGTAAACAAAAATAATCAGTCTAATAGTTCTGGTAAGTAAAAACAAAAATACCATCCAGTACCAAAACAGATGTACAATTTAAGTATGAAATTTTATACTGTTCTAAATAATAGTCCAATGACACCAAAAGATGCTACAAATGTGTCAGGCCTAATCAACACAAGATCCATTACGACCTTTCTAATTTAACAAATTGAGGAACACTAACCTTGAGTCAACTGATTCATGTACATGCATTTTATGAAAATGCTTCAGGTCTGTTGCAGTTCTCTTTAGACCAGTGATCTGCACCCATACACCAAAACTTTTGAAATTTCTAATCGATTCTATCCACTTTCCAAAACATGCCTGCACATGTTGCTCTATTTTCTTATACGTCTTCTAGATCTAAATCTATTGACATTATAATTCACGCTTCAACCTATTGTTATATGGTAAATGTGGTAAGCCCAGACATCCAATATCAAATTACCATGATGAGATAATATTCGTCTCCTAATCAAATGCAGTTAGATTGACAATAGATACTGTTGATTTCAAGTTTTTTACTTTATCATTTTTCTGAGCTGATTTAGAAGTCAAAACATCCCTTTTGTTAGCCTGCACATCCGCAAACAACTAAATTCATATATACTACATGCATACAATGCACATGGAAAGACAATGACAGAAACTTTGGCCAATCAAAGAAAAATAAGTGCACCTTTCAATTGATGATATTTGTTAGGGATTCAACCTTAGCTTGCAGACAAAAAATTTCTGCAGCAATCTCCTTGTGTTTAGATTGTTGATTTTCATGCTGCCCATTTTCCAAGGGAACGATGAAACTAACGCTTTAAAATCCCAAAATGAGTCATTCTCCCATTATCAAATACAAATGATATTGAAACAAACAAACAAAAAAAATATTAGATAGATTTTGTTTTGTGTATAATTGATACAAATCATCACTATCATAAGAGGCAAAGATAATCAACTTTACCTCAATGATCCATTCTCTCAGTATCTGATGATTTTGTAGACAAGCTCCTTGGTTAATTTAGTCACTCCTCGGCTCAAATCAAATGGCATTTTGAGTGTTCACATAAGAAATCCCACCAAGATAATCCGTAGTACATCTAAATCAACTGACAACTTAATGCAATAAAATGTCCATTCCCGCTACAATGCAATGAAAAATTGTGTCATTTTGTTTTGTTTTGTTTTTTTTGTTTGGCTTTTTCTTAATCTATTGTTTCTTTTCTTACTTTTCTCTCATAAGCAATAAACAACAATGAATAGACATAACTTCCCATTCCCATAGAGACTTTAAAAAGATATAAGCTTGAAACATTTTCCTTTGACTATAGGTTGAAATAAATTTTGGCTTTAGAAAAAAGGGCATAGGTAAATATGCGGCCCATTTAACAATAAAATAAGATATTCAAGCTTAAAGGGGCTCACTAAGTGATTAGCGTTTAGGTATGAAATATATTAGTCCAAATGGTTCATCCTAATGCCCTTATCATATTAAGCGCATAGACTCCTACGAAATCAAATTCGACAAGTTCTAAAAAACCAAGTCTAGAGCAACAATCACACACAAGAAGAAATATATAACATTTAAAATGAATGCTCAAATCTCAAATACGGTAAAAACATTTCATGCTTGGCTACTTATTTTCTACTTCATCAGCAAGTCATCTAATGAAAACTTATCATCTTGAAAGAAATATACACAGGTCTTTAGCACACAAGTCATTCATCCAATTGGGCAACCAATGAATATTCCCACCCCCCCCCCTCACACCCATTATGCGCATTGTCCTCAATGTAAAGGCATCGCAAAAAATGAAAAGTGCAAGGGACAGTGGACTTTCCTTAATCGGGGAGGGGGGGAATGCGAGGGCGCTATGAATAGGTAGGAGAGGCAACAATCAATCATAGTCATCTCCAAATAGCTTCTTAATGATGATGTGGTTGTCTCTAATGTTCTTTTGCAACTTCTGAATCTCATTCTTGCAATTTTCCAACTCAGCGTCAAGTGTGGCAAATCGTGCTTCCATTGGGTTTGTGTAAGAACCTGCAAGATTAGAACAAGAAGGAGATTCTTTCAGGGTAAAGAGAATGCCTGCATTAGTCAATTCCTTAGGTAAGGCTCCCATTCGGTAGAGAGTGCCGGCATCGAGAGTGGTTATCTCACAAGCTACATGGAGAGAAAGTAGATCAAGTGAATCAGGGGCAGCAGAATCAATGATACCAAGATTAATAGCCAAACGAGTAATATGTGAACCTAAAGGAACATGCCTATTTTTCGTATGCACAACAGTAGAGAGCTGCGACGCAACCCATTATGCGAAATTAACTTTCATTTTTTTTGTCATGCACCAAAGAAAGAAAAGTTCTGCCTTATTGACCACATTGGATGTGTCTTTACGACCCAAAAAACTATATGCAATGAGAGAGTGAATATATTGCAAAGCCGGACTCCTAAAATAAGAGAACTTTGACATTTTCAGATTGTAAGGGGCAGTGTTAGAAGTTAAATCATGCCATACCTCATTCAAATCCGAGAGAAAATCAAGATGGAATATGATCACGCTCTCCACAAAGCTCTTTTTGGCGACATCGTGTTTGGAGTACATACCCAAAGCAATACCAAAATCTGCAATAAACATTTTAAACTCGGTACCAAGTAAACAAAAGCGTACCACATCGGAGAATTCACAGTAAACTATGTAGGGACAGTGAAAACAAAATTAGAGTAGAATTCTAAAGTTAGCTCAGTCAATGCCGGTACATCAATTCGTAGAAATTCCGACCAACCAAAAAACTCAAAATAGTCAATGACATCAAGAATCAAGTTCAATTTCACTAACAAGACGATACCCAATTTCTTGCAAGGAATGATTTTTTTAATGGGAGAATTGACAAATTCAAATCTTTTGATATCCTCAATATTATCAAATGAAAAATGACCTCCGATGAACTTATCCGGCACCATGTGAACTTTCTTACCGCATAGGAGTCGTGACGAGGGCTTCAAAATCTTCGGCAAACTGGAGAGGGACACTTGAATCGTAGGTCGGATAGAGGTGGATTTCTTCCGTGGCGCCATAACCTGCAAAATAGAAGAGGAAGGGGACATTTACTTTTAGTCGGTACAGTTATGTTTCCGTACCAGAACATTTCCGAATGAGATCCGATGCTTCCCCTCAATTCTGCCCTTGAACGAGGATCGTTTCCAGTAGGTTTAGTATCAAGAATGGGACCTTCTCCTTTGTGGATCTATTCGTCCTTCACCCATGCAAATTCATCGTGGATGGTGAGCTTTAGGAAATCTATAAGGTACCGGGAAAGCTCCGGCGCCAACCTGTGGAATACCGTTTGGATCTCTTCCCGGATCTGATCCTGTAAAATGCTAGCCGGAATTGTCACCATTCTTTCCATACCTTCCGGAGCAGTAGAGTACTCATCTTGTGAGATCTTTTGGAAACATGTAGCGCTGAATTTTTGTTGACGACTCCTTTTTCTTTCGACATGGAGGTGCTGTCCGGAGATAGTATTTTGTGATTCCTTAATTGCTTGAAATGCGAGACTCGTCGGAGTCCCACTGGGTGTGCAAATCTGTTATCGCTGAAATTCATCAATGACGGCCTAACGGATTTAGGCTAGAGCTGGCAATGGGTCGATTAGTGTCGGGTTCGTGTCGAGTTGAATACTTTAAACGGGTTAAATTACTCAACCCTAACCCGACCCGTTTATGGTCGTGTCGGGTTTGTGTTGACCCGTTTATTATCGTGTCGGGTTCAGGTTGACTCGTGTTGACCGGTATACATAATTAAGTCGAATTTCTTGATTCAAATTAAATAATTTTTTGTTATGTTGTCATGTTATGTTAGTTTTTATTGGTTTGAGCATAAATTAGGTTGAATTATTTAAAATTGAACTTAGTTTAAATTAATTTATGAGAAATTATTAAATTATGATTATTTTACATATATAATAAATATATTAATCAATATTAATATATTATAATCGGGTTGTCCTGTCGGGTTCGAGTTGAGAGCCTCAATCCTAACCCGACCCGTTTACTATCGTGTCGGGTTCGTGTCAACCCGTATACATAATCGGGTTGAAATCTTTGACCCAAACCCAATTATTTCGTGCTGGGTCGTGTCGAGTTGTCGTGTGGGGTCAGTTTTTGCCAGCTCTAATTTAGGCCAGTCAAAATCGAAGAGAATTGGGTTCTCCGGTCTACTCAAGAAAGTATCCGGGCTTGGTCTCGCAACAAAAGTTAAAGATTGTAATTGTCCGGGGAAATTAAACTATTAAATTTTAAAAATCGGAAGAAAGCAGCGGAAACAAAAAGGAATGAAATGAATAATTGAAAAAATAATATGAATTTAAGAACAAAAATAAGAAAAAAGCAAACAAAAAAGCAAAGTAGATAAAAACTGGATCGTGTGAATTGTTTTTTTTTTTTTTTTTTTTTTTATGGATCCTCCTTCATATCCTCACTTTCCCTATTTTTGTTTCATCATTTTCTCCAATTTCCTATTTTTTGTTTAGGAAATTTTTTTTACTCCCACCCCATTATATCTCTCATCCATATTAAAATATTGTCTTTACCCATACATAAATTGGGGCTGGATTGGAGTTGTTTGAGCCGGCTCATTACTCTTTGAAGCTGGGCTGCCAATCACCTCCGGAAACTCAAAATATGTGAGAGTAAGAACTATATATTTAGTAAATTCAACAAAAGATATCTATTTACTATCATGTCTTATAAAATAATTCAACATTTCAAATACAATCACCTTTCATAAACTTGAGTTTTCCAAAACTAGTTGTGTTATAGAATGATGCATTGAACATATACATGCCATATAAATAGCAATGTTACGAATTTTGCCATTTGAGATGGAGGAGTGACTATTTGATTGAAAACTCATTTAAATAAATGTGGGCCCAAATTCTATAACTCACTTTATCAGGTCCAGTCCTACACGGTGTTGATTTGTGACCGTACGATCTAGGGATTCTATCTAGACCGTCAATTCCGATCTAACCTAAGTATAAATATGTGTGATGTGTTGTAGCGCGGCCTTAAGCTTTAGATACATTTTCTCTCTTTATCACTCTCCTGTCCGGCAATCTTGTCTTCTCCTCGTAGAATTTCTCTCATCTTTTTCTTGATCTATGTAGTGTTAGATATTGATTCTTGACGTCTACTCTTGTGAGGTTTTGAGAGTCACCGTCGATTTTCGAAAGTGAAACAAGTTGTTCTATGTTTGTCTTCATCGTTGGTGAGTACATCCTTTTTTAAAGCAATTTTATAAGTGGATTAAGTTTTTTCCATTGTTAATCGAGTGAACAAGGTGTTTACTTCGAAAGGGGAGTTGCAAGTCGATGGTTGTAAAGGATATAGTCCGAAGAGCTGTGAGTATGTATTTTTCTGGCTTTAGTTTGAATCCGGTGCATTGATATCTCAATAGTTTGGGGGCGTAAGCGTTTATACATAGTTTACTTAAAGTATTTTGTGTTTGCGACCAAAGCCTTTATTTGTTTGGATTCATTTTTGTTCGCTTGATTTTTTTTTCCCTTGATTAAATTAATAAATAGATTCTAAAATATTTACTAGTAATATAAATATTTTCTTTCTAAAAAAATTGTATTTCAAACATGGAAAATATCAATTAGCAATCGTATCTTAATTTTTCCTTGTTTCTCATGACCACATATTTACTTTATATTATTCTTATAAATGTTTTAGTAACAAAAAAGTTAATAAAAACTATAACGACTAATTTTTCAATTTTGTGTTTCAGGTGTTACCTCTATTGTTGTTTCTATAAGTACTTCATCAAATACATCGCACTCATCTTTCTTTTTCAAGAAGTTTACTACTTCTAAAATTATGACGTATGTGTTCTTCATTCTCTAAACTATATTCCAGAATATTTGTTCTTCAATCTTAGCATTAGGGAAGCATATTAGTGGTTTTTCTTGTTCTATCCTTAAAATGATGTTTTTATATTTTTGGGGACTTTCTTTTTTAAAATTCTGCATTTTGTTTTCTTTTGGGTTTATTTCATCTTCGATCTCGGATTTCTGAACCTATTAATAATATTAGCTTGGCATGATTTTATTTTATTTTTTTGTTATGTTTCTTCAACTTAAACAACAAAATTTTCTGGTTGAGTTCCAAAATGTGTCGTACCTTGCCATACATATATAAATATATATTTTTTGTAATTCAAAAGGATATGAGTAGAATGACCCAGCTATGGCCTTTCAGTTTGTTATCCTTGGTGGGATTTCTTAAAGTAACCAAAGGTGCTTGTCGAACAAAATTATCTGATCCCCAGAGAACGGGTCACTGAGGTAATGTGTATTATCCTTGCCTCTTATTACAGTAATGATTTGTATCACTTATATGCAATACCAGATCTATTTATTATTTATTTTTTTTTTTTTTTTGTTTCCTTCCTTATTACTTGTATCTGAAACTGAGAGAATGAGTTTTGTGGTTCAAACCTTTTGTTTCGTTATTTCCTTAGAAAATGGGCAGCATACAAAAAAACTAGCTAAACACAAGGAGACTGCTGTAGAAATTCATTGTCTACAAGCTAAGGTTGAATCCCTGACTAATATCATCAATCGAAAGGTGCACTTATTTTGCTTTGATTGGCCATTGTTTCTGTCATTGCCTTTCCATGTGCATTAGTATATATGCACTTACTTGCTTGCACATGTGTGCAGGAAAACAAAAGAGATGCATGTTTTCACTTCTAGATCAGCTCAGACAAATGAAAAAGTAAAAAACCTGAAATTAAAGGTATGTGTTCTCTGCCTAACTGCACTTTGATTAGGAGACAAATCTTATTTCATTATGCTAACTTGATACTGGAAGTTTGGCCTTACTATGTTTAGCATATAACAGTAGTTTGTAGCGGGAATTATAATGTCAATAGATTTAGATCAGAAAGATGTATAAGAAAATAGAGCAACATGCGCAGGCTTGTTTTGAAAGGTTGATAGAATTGATTACAAATTTCAAAGTTTTGATGTGTGGGTGCAGATTACTTGTCTAAAGAGAACTGCAGCAGACCTGAAGTTTCGTTTCTGCGAAGAATTTGATGGACTTAGAGAATGGCTCGTTGAGGTAAAGTTGATTACTATTACATAAACCATTTGCATCACTTATACAGAATATTACAAGATTTATTAAAAGCTACACACATTGTCTTTTTCGTTCTTTCAGTTCCGTCTCGACTGTTTTTTCTTTACTCAGTTTTCTTTTGTCATAGATTGTCACAAAGAGAAGATGCTGCTGTAGATTCAATGGAGTTTCCCAGAAATCAACACATGCTGATCTCAATAATTTTGTCGGAGATAAATGAGAAATATTTCTTGCACCCCAATATTGGGTAGGCTTTTTCTTTTTTTTTTTTTTTTTGATGACGTGGAACCAGCAGCCGCTACTCGAAAGTGCGCACTGGGTAAAACTCCGGCCGAACCTAATACCTACAAACCAGACCCGATGGAAAAGTCACACTGGGCACCATGTGTGGCAAATGACCTGAGGTGTCACCGGTTCAAACCCCTGACACCTCAAGTCATCCCTCACGGGACTTTTGATTTCATTTTGTTTGGGTTTGGGTTTGCAGTACATGGCTTCGAAGATGAATAGAATTCTTGGGTTCGAGAAATCTTCTCCAGATGCCAATGTTGTGTTTATTTAAGAATAAAATAATTAGAGATTAATGGAGTGTAATAGCCCAAGAGTTGAAATGAGATGAGGTAGGAAGAATGTGAGTTAAGCTTACTTGCTCTACATAATTTTAGGACGGGTGACCATGTAAAGTCCCTTGGGATCCATGTGAGTTATGAGAAAGCGCTTTGAAATGACTTGTATTTGACTTGTCGGCCTCCCAGCAGAACGAATCAAACTTAATTATGTATGTATTTCTTTGTTTAATTTCTGCAACATTTTTTTTGGGTACTAATCTTTGTTTGTTAATATTCAAGTACTATAAAATGTTGATTTCTTTATTTGTTTATTATTAGTATTTTAATTTATGATTGAATTCCATATGATAAAAATTGGAAAAAGATTTGTTGGTTGTGTTTTGGTATCTTTATATGTGTGATTTTTTTTTATAATAAAATCTTGAACTAAAATGATTATTTGATATGATAATTTAAATTAAAAATATATATATATTTTTATGTAATATATTAAAGAGTATTTGAATTGTATTAGAAGAAAATAATGGAATGAAAGTCCGGTAGTTTTAATAAGATATATTGTATGTGTGTATATCTGTATACAAGCAATATCACTCCTATGTTATATGTGTTGGATAATTTTTCAATTTTTTGTTCTTTTTATATATTGTGTATGCATGATAAATATATGTTTACAAAATAATATGGTGGGAATGAGTTAGTAAGTGAATATAACAATATTATTCAAACCAATAAAAATTTCAAATTAACTTTTATAATTTACGACTAGTAAAAAATGTGAGAAATTAACCAAAACATGAAAAAGGGTAATAATTAACCAAGTAAAAACTTATTTTTTTTCCAATAAGAAAATACAACCAATAATGTTTTGATTGGACTATGTCATCCTGAAATGTAAAATGGTAAAGGGCCTTCAAAGCAACACTACAATCAAAGGACATCGACAACATAACGATAGTGAATCAAAAAAAAAAAAAAAAAAAATGAATGAGAGGAATCGATACTTCGGCTCTTGGAGAGAATGCTCGTTTAAAATATTTAAGAAATTATGTCTATTTATAGTTCATTCAATCCCATCTGAAAAAAACAAATATATATATATATATATAGTTATGGTTTAGAATAACTAAATAAATAAGAAAGAATTCATTAAATCGGATAAAATAATACTATCTCCGTCTCCCAGGGTCTCACTTATTTTTTCTATGCTTGATCTTTAAATATTAATTATTATATTAAAATGTAGTACAAATTTAAAAAAAATAAAAAATACTTCCATGAGTCTTATAATACTTCTACACTTGTACAAAGATGTAAAAAATAAATATGACCTTAGAAGAGAATTGGGAGTATTAATCATCCTTCTCTTGCTAATGAGGTCACCCTTGTCGTACTAATTATATGTGTTAATTATTATTATTATTATTATTATTATTATAATTATAATTATTATTATTATTATATACTGTATATGTTATTTATATAATGTTGAAAAAAAAAAAAATGCTTCCAACTTCTTATTTTTTTCTGTCCAATAAACAAATATTAATGTTATATTATTTACTTGTCCGCTATAAATGTTATACTTTCTTTTTTATTCATTTCTTAAAAATAATGTTCCTGTAATTCAATGTACTTTTCATAATAATATTCAATAAATTTTCTTAAAAAATAATAAGTAATATGTGTATTTTGTCTTTCCATTTAACGCAATTATTTTTACATAAATATTATAATTTTTTAAACTTCATGCAAAAAAGTAACAATTACGTTACTCCGGATGGAAATCATATTAATTTATGATATATTAATATTTGTGTTGTATACGAAAAATCCGTATTCGAGTCTCTCGACAGTTTGATGAAGATGGTCGCAGTTTTGTCTAGGAGTTCCCTAAGGTACTCTAGAGATCTCTTAGGTGATCGTTTCGTGCTTGCAAAATTTAGGATCAGCAGTGAATCCGCCGATTAAAATTGGAAGAAAATGATTTAAAAATGGATTTCCATTAAACTAGAAAGGAAAGTTACAAATGAAATTGAACAAAAGCTGTAAAGAAAGCGGATAAAATGTGGAGAAAAGATAAAACACTCAGAAACATAAAATGCTAAAAAGATTAATATAATAGCTGGAAATGGATTGATCGGGGACCTCTTCTTTGTCCTTGGTCGACAGCTTATATAGCTCCAAAAGTGGTTGCTCCTTAATTGCATCTTGATAACTCATCATTACAGGTCTTCATTTAATTATGAAACCGTCGAAAACTTTCACTTTGCCAAGAATTCATGGTGGATAACACCAGCTCTCTTGATATACTCTGCATAACTCCCAAGTCCCTTATAATAATTAGCTCTATGTATCACCAAAACATCCATGACTCTTGAATAGTTCCACTTAAATGAAGAGCTCCACTGCCCCCAACTTCTTCAATGATTGGTTTTACTTCCATTGATTCCATGTAAAAACCAAAAATATCCAACTCAATGAATACCACCATATAACTCATGTGGCCATCACTTCCATTAATTTTTCGCAACACTCTGGATTTTTCAGAGAGCTTCGGATTTTTTTTGCAGTAGGTTGAGCTTATTCCACTGACCAGATTCTGGGCTGCTTACTTGCTTCCTGAAACTCCGCTGATTTGAGCCTCTTTCCAATTGGACTTTTCATCACTCATTCTTGAGTCTTGTTCAATTTAGGCTTTTCCTTTTGCTTCCTTTAGCTATGCATCCATTTCGGCTCGGATCCGCTATTTAACTACTATTTTTCCGCCTTGATTCATCTGAGATTCTTCTAAAATCTTGCGGATTTCTCGGTATAACAGATGCCTCCAAAAATGTTTGGATGGTTTGACTTCCAAAAACATCCAACATTTTTGTAATATAGTTTTCTTCCAATCAATTCATTGGATCACCCTCTAGCGGCGGAATGGATAGCCAAAAAAAAGCCTCTTTGAGAGCAAGATATCTTCTCAATCATTGCGGACTGATGCTCGCATTTTTTCACCGCTTCGAGGGAGTAGCTATTTTGTGCCTACACTTAATTTCATCTGTTGCTCTCACATGCACTTCCTTTTTTATTTTGGAAAATAGCTTTGGATTGAATCATATTGGCGGAGATTACGATGTCTATGGACACTCGAACCAACGAGTAAATGACTATTCGTGATTCCATAATAGAATCAATTCCATACTGGTTCCAAATTTAATTATTGGAAAATTTTATGGTAAAACTTCGCTTGAAACAATGGGGTAGAAAGCAACATGCTGCTTGAAGGACAAAATCCATTGTGGATTTTTCGATCTACCATTTTCACTTTATCTAGGAATGAGGATGCTCTTGGCTCGACATTGTTTGTTGTGTTACACTTGAACCCTGCTTTTTGTTGGGTTGGAAATAGTCCACGGTGGAGCTCGAGCCGAAAGGATTAATTCATTTATGGGGGATAAGTATCTAGGATTAAATGCCAATCAATCAATTTGAACACACTTTTAATTACCTTTGTACTCTTCAAAAGCCCTAGATCTCTCTTGAAGACACTTTCCTAATTGTGGGCGTTGATGATGAAGGATAATGACAGAGAAATGCGAGAAAGAGGCGTCCTCGGGCCACGAAAAACATGATTCGCAGTCGACGCAACTGATTCCAGTGTAGGGCAACTGGATGTGGAGGTGGTGGACGGTCGATTGGTAGAGGCAGCAGCTTGGCGGCACAAGGACAAAGGAGAGGTGGAAGGATAAACGGGTTAGGCTGTGGGTTATCATGACCTATCTGTTAAGACGGGGATCCGGGCTTTCAACCTAAAACTAATTGATTGTAAGCGGAGTAGCCGTTCCCCTTATAAGGTAGGGGAGTCCCAATATTATATTCAATGTGGGATGTTCAACACTACCGATTCGACAATCCAATATAGGTATTACTTTCTCCTCGAATTAAATATTTTTATTATTCTTATCGAACTCGGACAAAATTTTATTCAATTTTCAAAATCTTCCCTAGAAAATATGGTAGTGATTTTATGTTCGAATCCAAATTATCTTCCTAGAACTATTTATACTACTGTTGCCTCATGTTTCAATACAAAGTGAGTATTTGTTGTTGCTGTTTGTTGAGAATTGTCATTTCAACTGAAATCTTAATGCAAGAGTAGGGAAATCAGTTGGTCGAATCATTTAGTGTCCGTTATGATTCAAAATAATTAGTGGGCATTAACAAGAAAAGAAAGTGGCTCGCTGTTATGGGGGGTTTATATTTGTTTTTTATGATATCATTAAGTTGCTTTTATAATCAATTATGTAGTAACGTTTGAATGGTAGTTTAAATATGGTGTATTTGGTATTCTTGTCGAGAAGTGAGAATCGTTTGAAAAATTGTTCTGTTTTTCTATTCCTGCGCCAACATTTAGAATGTTGCTGGTAGCGATGAATGTCAAGAAATTATGGTATTTGACTAAATGGTTGAATTGACATTGAGTTTTCTGGAGAGGGCTTTCAGTTTGTTTGAGTTGTTGGATTGGATAACGACCCAACTGATCACCTTTGATTTGGACTAATAACCGCTTGACCTCAAATATGATTTGAGATTTTGATAAAGTTTGTATTTGTGTTACCTTAGAACAAATTGTGGAAAAACCATAAAAGCTAGCATTTTCGAACTTTTTTCTGGCAATATCAATATTGCTATAAGATACAAGGCTCTTTTAGATGCATACATTTTTATATTCAGAGTTCAACAATCATTATATGAATTCTTTCTTTACTTTTTGCATCTCACTCATGTCTTTCAATCTTGCAAACATATATATATATATAGATATACCTGTCAAAAAAACCACAAAATAACCCCCAAAAATTAGTAGCACGTACACCCTCCAAGAAGATGGATTCTGCATCTGAAAAGCAAGAAGAAGCCATGGCTTCCGCATCTCAAAAACAAGAAACTTCCATGGCTTCCGCATCTGAAAAAAAGCAAGCAGCCACAGCTCCATCAAGTGTCAAAGAAAAAGACGTAGACATGGATTCAGCATCTGGAAGGCCAGAAGATCCTTTGAAACCGGAACCGCCGATCACTGATTCTGCATCTGATATATCAGAAGTAGCCACGGATTCTGCACCCCAAGCGCACGAAGTAATCCACATTAGCTCGGCATCCGACGAGGATAAAGAAGTCGAAATTTGTCCGCCACCGCGTTCGCAAGATGTAATCACGCCTGATCAATCTGTAAGTTCTCTATCTTCCATTCTTCGTTAATGATCTAATAGGTCAAGTCGAGTTTCTTGATCTGATTATATGCTAATTCATATAAACTCAATTGATTTCTGCAGCAGACAGACAATCTTGTTGTGGAACTTGGGAATCAAGATTCCGGCGGTTCTTTTAGTGATGACGAGCCTCTGCCTGAACCCGATTTGGGGCCAGCTTCACAGCCTGAAGCAACTCAACAAGAGAAGTTTCATGTCACAGCCATTCCCGAGTACCCGGAGGTCAGTAGAACACAACCTCACCCTACCATAGCAGTTCTTGTTACGCTCACAGCGCCGTCAATGTCGCAATTTCCGAATTCTCTAAAGCGTTTGCCTCTCGACCTTGTCGTCGTGCTGGATATAAGTAAGAGCGAGGACGAGTCAAGATTGGAGCACATGAAAAATGCACTTCTGTTTATCGTCGAAAGCATGACCAGTTGGGACAGGCTTTCGATTGTTTCGGAAGCTACTCGGCTTACACCTTTGCGTCGAATGCATCAGCCTGGAAAGGAAACGGCGAAAACAGCTATTCGAGCTCTATTTTCCATTGAAGCCTCGACCGGAATTCAGGAAACTCTGTTGAAGGGCGCCCGAGTACTTGATGAGAGACGTTTTACGAATCCGACTGCAAGTATTATACTGCTGTCCGACAGGGGAGCCGGTCACAGTACGGAGCCTGAATCCACGACAAAAACGAAAAGCCAAACTGCCATCCTACTGAATCTATTGCCAGAGTCTATTTATCCAGACACTCGATGGACTTCCGACCTCGATTCATTTCCTGTCCATTCATTCGGCATCGGCCCATGCCACGATCCCAGTGTGCTGCACGCAGTATCTTCGGCTTCACTCGGCACTTACTCGTACGTGAAGTCGTACGACATTCTGCAAGACGCGGTCGCATGCTGCATTGCGGGTCTCACGAGCGTCACGGTTCAGAACGTTCATATAACACTCGCGCAAATGGTGGATGTCGTCAAGATTAGATCGATCGAGTCTGGGCTACACGCGAGCAGAGTTTCGCAGGCAGGAGACACAGGTGAAATCATAATAGGCGAGATGTACGCCGAGGAGGTCAAAGAGTTTCGTGTAGAGATATCTCTTCCTCGGCTCACAATCCTCGGCAAGAGAGGCGCCACGAAGAGGACTCGTATGGGTATAATGTGGTCGTACTCTGACGCCGTGTGGGAAGTGCACGAAAAGTGTCTTTCTTTTGAGGTACAGAGGCCAATCGATGTATCCCCGGAAGGCAGTACACAATGTGAAGAGATTTTGCAGAACAAAGCGCGCCTGTTCGGCGCAGAAAGCATTAGGAAGGTGAGATTGATGGCAGATCATCCCGGCGAGCTCTATAATGCTCGGAATTTTCTGTTAGAAAAGCTAGCAGAAATGTCGCAAAAAATCGAATCAGGCCATGGCCCGAGCGTGTGGATTTATGGCGAGATGTGTGAGGTGGCGAAGCTATTGGGAAGTCTGCAATTGTACGAGAGATTCGGACAAGCTTATGCTCTATCGAATGTGAGCTCCCATGACAATCAAAGGGCCACAACAAGAGGCTGCAATGTGCCGGGAGTCGTCGCTATCAGTTACCCTGCTTACGCCACACCTCATATGGTTCGGTCTGTGAATTCTTCGAGGTCGCAGCGACATAAGCTTTGGGAAAATATTAGGAACATATTCTAATGATCGAAGAAGCTTCATCCCATTCATGGCTACCATGTAGCCTTCCTTGGTGAATATGATGGGCAGTTTAGCGTGTTCTTGATTCTTTACAACTTTCTTCTTCGGTGTTTGGAGTCTGTTAGGATTTTTGTTACTAAAAAGTGTGTTGACAATGGGGAAAATGATGTTAAAAAACACTTTAGAATAAGAAAAGAATTGCAAGATTTTGATAATAAAACTCAAAACGTGAAAAAGTCACATAAAATAAGAAATCTAGTAGATGAATCGAATAGTTAAAATCGTACTTTAGTGGATGTGTTGTATAAAATTCATATATTCTTAATCTTACGACAGTTTGATAAAATCGATTGGAAAATGTCAAAGGTTCCAAGGTCACTCTAGAAAGCCTAGGTGATATTTTGTGTATGTGAAAATAGAATTTAGTGGAAAAATTCATTGATAAGAAAACAAAAAAAAATGACTTAGAAATAGAAAATCATTAAAATTAAAAAGGAAAGCACAAGCTTGTTGAAAGGATAGTTGTTAAGAAAATGGATAAATGTGGAGAAAATGTAAAATATTGAATTGTAAAATATTGAAAAAATAATGATAAAATGCTGAAAATATTGTGTTGGTTGGGGCCTTCCTCATCCTCATCTTCTCATTTATAGCTTTACTTGGGGGTTGAATGTGTTTGATTGGGGTTTTGAATTTTGGATTAGAATTTGAATAGTAAAATATTACATCAACTACTATTTATATCACATTTAACAATTATTTAGATTCAATCTTTTACTATACAGAAAACAAAATCCAAAAACTAAACCTACAAACAAACACACACTAAAAACGCTTGGTGAACTGAATTTTCAAAGCGAAATAACTTTTGAAAAGGGTTTTTTACAATAAAAATAAGGTCTACACTGTGTTGTTATTTAGTACTCTTTTCATCTTACATCTTGTGTTCATATTACCATTTTCGTACGTCTCACATGTTATGTTACCTTTTTTTTTTTGGAAAAAAATTACCCAATTTACTCGCATTTTAAAGTTTTTATTTATAATCATGTCATTAATTAATGAGGCATCAGCACCTGATCCATCTCGATAATTATTTGTACTATACTGTAATTACTTTACTATCGTATCTACAATAATCCGGACATAAAATTTGGGACGGAGATAGTATATGATAAGTAAGTTACATAAAATGATAAATTATGCTTATTTTTTGTTGATGTTGTTATACATAACAAATTTATGGATGAGAAACATATTATTTAAAAGTAAAAGATGAATAAAATTTAAAGATATTTCAATAAAAACATTTTAAAGTTTGAATTTTTTTGAATTCTCTATTAAATATCGAACACTTCAGTTTACACTCTCATATCAACTGTACAAACAAAACCTCTCCAAAAAGGCTGTATATTCACGAGAACAACACCAAGAAACATTCATGCTGCTAACATACCGCACGTCCCATCCCTATTATACATCTCATTTGTTCTTCCAAACCATCACTATGCCGTGTTGATAGTGTAGTGTTGTGTTCGGTTATGTAATAATTAGGGATGTGTTACTTGTAAGATTTATTTTAAGTTGAAATTGTTGTCTGATGTGATATAAATATGTATTGATGTAATGTTTTGAATGTAAAATTTAATTTAAATTATAATAATAAGTGTTTGATTTGATATTTGTAAAAAAAAAAAATTGAAATAGTAAAACAAAAATCAAATTCCAGGGCTGCCACTGGTTCATGTCCGGCCCCAAAATTTTAGGCTATTATAAGGGCTTATTTTACCTAAAAAAATATATTTATATATAAAACAAAGTTTATAAATATATGTACAACATAAAAATTTATATTAAAATTTACATGGTATTATTTAAATATATTTTAATATGATATTTTATATATATATATATAAAACAAAAAATAGTATTTCCTTCGTCCATTTCAAACGTTTACATATACTTATTTTCGTCCGTGTTCAATTCAAGAATTTATATTATTTTTTTTAGTAAATATGGACCCTGATATTTTTTAATCCGTTTGCTAAAAAGTAAATATAAATATTAAAATTAGACTGAGAAAGTATATTTTTGTTAACAATAGAACCAAACAAACTCAAAAAAAATTAAACTGTAAAAAAAACAATACAAAATACTCTCTATTTTTAACATTTATATTTATTTTTGCACGTCAGATTTAAAAATATTAATACTTTACAATATTAGATAAATATAATAATATAAAGACCAAAATATCTTTACTTTTAAATAAAAGTGTATAATAAATTAAGAATAAGATAATAAATAAGTATTAAAAAAAACATTATTAATTAGTGATAGATACACAGTTATAAAAAGGTTAAACATTTCTATTGGGTGGACAAAAATATAAATTTATAAGGTTGTTTCGCAAATAGCTTTTTGAGGAGCTTTAAGCTTATTGAACAGCTTTTAGTTGTTTGACCAGTCAAAAAGCTAATTTAGGTGTTTGGTAAATTAGCTTTTTGAAGAGTTTTTAGCTCATTGAACAGCTTTTAGCTGTTTGACCAGTCAAAAAGCTAATTTAGGTGTTTAGAAAATTAGCTTTTTGAAAAAGCTTTTTTACCCAAAAAAAACTAATTTCTGAAAAGCCTAACTTAGCGTTTTGAAATAGTTTTTTCTGTAAAAAAAAAATTTTATTGCTGGTATGCCCTTAAAAATTTATTATACATTTTACACAAATAAATATATTTTGATTATTTATTAATTATATTAGAATATTTTACTATATTATAATTTTACTTTTATAAATTTAAAATAATTAATTTTTATATAAAAATTATTTTAATTGTAAAATATATAAATTTATTAAAATCAACATAAAATAAAAAAATATAAATATTAATAATTTATTTTTTTATTAAAATTACATTATATAAATTTTATACTAAAAATAAATTAAATTTATTGAAAATTATAAATATAATGAACTAATCGATAACTAACATAATAAATATATACACGAAAAAATTATTATTTTATATTTTACATCATTTTTAATAAAAAAAACTATTTATATATTTTAATAAAAATATATTATTTTTTAAATCTAAATGTAATAAAAATAATACTTTTATAACACTTTTACAAGTTTCAATAATTAATAACAAAAAATTTTAAATATTAACTCAAAAGAATATAATTGAATATATTAGAAACAAGAATAAAACAGAAATGTCCTGTATAAACAGCTAATATCAAACAGTTAATATCAAACAGTTGTTTTACCAAAAATTTTAATACAAACAGCTAATCGAGCTCATTGAATCAGCTAACAGCTATCAGCTAATTAAATCAGTTAACAGCTAACCGTTATCAGTTAATTGCCAAAGACGGCCCATCCTCCTTAGAAATGGACTAAGGGAATATTAGTTTTTATATTAATCATATATATAAATATATTAAATAAGTAATTTTTTTTTTTTTTTTTTTTGTCCAGAACTCATTGAAACTTAGAACGGTGTGTCGTGCAACTTACTAGCTAAGCAAAACATTACAAGATTCGCCATGCTGCAGGAATCGTCGGATTGAAAATCTATATTACATTACACGATGTTCAAATATTAGTTGATCAAATATTTACACAGTAGGAACACACACGCGCTTACTTCACTCAAAATGTCTCCGTCTATCTTCAATCGCATTCCGACAGAAGATTACTGATCTTCCTAAGCTCTTTCAGCGCGGCCGTAGCCGTCGCCGTGACCTGTCCTTTTCCGACAAGACCATTCTTGGATAAGTTTTCCATCGATCCTATCTGCACCCAATCCTGCTGGTAGAACACAGACTCAATCACCTGTAAATTCGAACGATTACTTTCGATTCAGTGCTCCTCGAAATATAAGGCAAACATATATATATATATATATGTATTACGGCACCTGGATGTTCTCGAGCATAGAGTTGCCGAGATTCTTGAAGCCACCCATCAAATTGGCGTCGCCTTTGTCAGCAGCGCGAGTATTGTCACCAGCATCAAATGAAACATCATCATCACCAACATTAAGCCGATTAATTGCCTCGTCGACGCCACGACTTTCCTCTGCAGACGACGTTCCTTCGCTACCATTCCTTCCCATCTTCAACATCCATTGAAACACACCAAGAAAAGGTTTCTTCTCCTTTACAGTGGCTGTTGCTTGTTTAACAATCGAGCTTTTCTCCATTGAATCGGGTTTCCTAGCCTCGCAAGACTCGGCATCCTTTTCATTCGTTGATGCAACACTGCAACTACTACTTCTTCCCGATTCATTTTCTTTGTCAGGCTCGTCTGTAGTAACAGTCGGGACTGAAGAAACAAGGTCTTCATTGCCTCCGGAGCCAGTAGAAATGCTTTCCTCGATCTCATTTAAGGTATCTACATTAACCTCAATTTCATCGGATATTGCATCTTCTTTGTCTTCATAGTCATCTTCATCTGCACCGAGCTGTCGCGCCAGGTCCTTCAACAAGCTTCTCTGCACACCCGGTCTCCGAAAATTGGCTCTCTTAATCTGCTTAGAAGGCAAGGGATCGGATTCAGTTCTGTAGAGACATGTTTCAGGTTTCTCGGACCAACCATTTTGACGGTTTGGAATGCTCTCGGTCTCGGGCTCCTTGTGTAGAAATCTCCATTTCTGTTCCCAATAGCTATTCGGCACTGCACATGGAACGCTACCTGGAGAACTCAGATCGATTGAAAGACTATGTGCTCTTGCAACGGACGAATTCCTTCTACTGCCCATCTGGAATGGCATCGGTTTCGGATTTGAGAATGCCAGAGATTGCAATGATCTTGCCTTTTCTAACAGGCTTCGAACCTCTACGTCACAGGGAAAATTCAGCAGTCTCTGGAGACAGGTAGTCGCATTCTCGGTGGCGAACAATGAAGACCTCAAACTGTGCATCATCGCAACTGCAAACGCAACTATAAATGTGCCCCGAGGTGACTCCAGAATTCCATAACTGGACTCGGATCCGACTTCTTTGATAGACTTTGCATTTTTGTAAGCAAAAATTTCATCCCAGATTGCCAGAAGGTCTTCTAGAGTAAATTCACGGCCAAACAGTACCCGTAGCCAACGAAGTGCAAAATACTGGGGCTCGACTCCGAGTTCAACAAGGTGACTGTGAAGAGAGGAATCTACAATGGAAAGTAAATGGTAAAGAGCAGCAGAAGCTTCAATTACCGGGGGGAATCCGAGGTGAGAATTCCCAGGCAAAGATGGGGCGAAAAGCTCTGCCATGGAAACAGCCCCTCCAGCTCCAGTCATTAAGGCATCGAACATACAATAAGCATCGTGTTCCATGAATTTTTCTGATATTACGATGCCGAGCTCACCTTCGGCTCCATAGGCGTCACTTAGTGATACAATCATTTGTACCTCAGGATCAAGCTGGCCGATGCTGTTGGCTTTTGACAGGCTGTTTTCGAATACATCGCTTCCATTCGAAGTTCCTGAGAATTTCTTGAAATCGAACTTGTATGGCAAGTCATTTTCGTGGAACGAAAAGCCATCGAATTTATCAGAACCATATCTGTTGTAAGTTTTCCTCAATTCTGACAGGCGTTGCACGTCGAATTGAAGAACGTATAACAGGGGAGCCAATAGTTCATGCATACCTGCATCAAAAAATAGGAAAGTGAAATTAAAATACAGCTCCCTCTTTTGACCTAGGCACTGAAAAGGATTTTGGCTTCGGATGTACTATTGTAAGAACAGGATTGGAGTTGACGAAGGTGACTCACGAACAATAAATACATACCCTGTCTGTAGCCGTGCTCCGGGTGTCTAAGGCACCATAGTTGTAAGATTCGTCTCAACATGCCTTGGCATCTATTTGTCTGGAAAAAACTGCTTCTTTCAGGGTACAGCCGCGTCAAATCTTGATCGACCATTCTCTCCAGCTCGGCATTTCTAAAGAACTGTCCCCACATACTATCTGCATGAATATGAAGACAAATAACACTTGAGAACTACTGCAAAATCGATTACGCAAACTTAGAAAATACAAGGATCTTTTTTACAGCTTTCTAATTTGAACACATTTATATGTAGATCATAAATGGTGGCAACTCGAGCATTTCTCCAATATCATATTTAATGATGCATCACTTAAAAGTTTTGGGACATAGGAAAACTTAGAAATCGCACCCGGGTTTTGGGAGAGTGGATTGTCCATGACATTGTCGGGTGAATGAGCTCTATCTTTGGACACATGTGGATCGACGAGAAGATGTCTTCTTAAGGCAGCATACCTGTATAAAATCTTGATACTTAACATTTTATAAAGATAAGGAGGACAAAACCGTAACCTCAATCAATGGTGAAATCTATAAACCTTATAAGATTCAGATCAAGACTTCAATCGAAGATAAACTCTAACATAAATTTGGAAATGGACAAGTGATCAACATATGTAGTTTCTGATTGAATCCAAATCAATCACCACCATTACAGAAACATTATCTGTGATAAAATGATGTAAGAGATAACAATTGAATCTCAGAACATAAGGGGATATGATGGGGACGAACAAGCACAGAACAAAATCAGTGTTCTTTGCTAGGGATTTAGAGCCTCTTTAAGTGAAAACAAAGATTTCAATAGTTTTTACCTTCTCCGAGAATCGGCGGTCACGTGGCGGAGATCGTCGACGGATGCCGGAGGAGACGGCGGCAATATCTCCATCTGTATGCGCCATTGGAGGCCCCTGAGTTCTCCTAAGCCGCGTGGGCACGACGCCGTTTCAAGCATTTGCGGATACGCCGTCGTTTTATAAAAACCCTCTCCTCTCTCTCTCCTGAATTCAGGTAGAGAAATAGAACCCCAACATTTGAGATCAATTTAGCTAGGTCGCGAATTTGTCTGAAAGCACTTCAATGGAGTTATATATAGAAAACTGATCTAAAAAATCCTAGAGATAGAAACAGAACATGAAACGAAACCTACACGGTCTGAATATGTTGCGATCGATAAAAAAATTCAGCGTACTGCTCAGATTCCGATTTCCGACCAAGACAGAGACAAGTTGTCTGCCGGATAGACGCGAGGCGAGAGAGAGGAAACCAGGAGTTGGGTTGGTTGATCGAATTTCAAGGAATATGCCTCTGGATTAAGAAAGATTCTTCTTCGGGTGCTTTCGTTGTTCCGTATTGGTGTTGGTATGCTGATCTAATCAGTGTCGCCATTTTGTCTTGCAGATAAGATCGAGTGGCTCCCTCTCTGCTCGACCACTGTTGATGTAGATAGATAGAAGATGAAGTGAATCTGGATTGTTGATTTGATGCACACACAGCACAGATAGCAAGCACTCCGTTGATTTTTATTCGTTTTAACAATTCTTTATAAATGTTTAACAGGGTCAACCACGAAAAGGGTAATGAATTAAACGAATCAAGCTTCTCTCCCAATCAAGCTTCTCTCCCAGTTTCTAGAGTAAATATCATTTCTAGTCTCATTCAAATTTAATTTTTTTTATTTTTGGTCCGATATCAAAATAATTACTAAAAACCGGTCCCACCCAAAAAATTACTTATCATTTCTAATTACACCATTCAAATTTTAACGGTTCCAGCTAACGTGGCTGTTACGGATGCTGACTCGGCCCAAACACGGTCATGTTGCACAAAACACGCCCGTGTTTAAAATATACATCATCTGACCAAAATTGAGAATCCAACATGGGCGTGTTTCTATGAGACACGGCCGTGTGTTTAAGGTTGCAGGACACACCAGGCTCGGAACACAAGCGTGTTCAAATAACACAGGCCCGTGTTGTATCGTTGAAAAATCCCGCCGATTATAATTAGTTTTACATGGCCGTGTTTGTAAAGAAATACGGCCGTGTTAGACCTTGTTTTTAACAAAAACCCTAACCCCACATGTCCCCCATTTCAAATCCATTTATTTTAATTCTCTCTCATTTCTTCCGCATTTCAGCCCCACTTCTCCAACCTATCAACCCCACTTTTCATATATTATAGGCGAAATTGTCCATAACTCCCTTGTGGTTTCGAAACTCAGCGTAAATTCTCCCTCTACTTTAAAAATTGCGTGACGTCCCTTTATACTTTAAAGAATGTTGCATGAAACCACTTTGTGGTTTCGAAATTCAGCATAAATCCCCATTTTACTTTAAAAAATTGCATGACGCTCACTTATACTTTAAAAAATATTGCATAAAACCCCCCGGCCATGCAAAACATATAGATAGGAAATCATCTTCTTATCACACGAGGAAAATTTCATAGCGGTGGAGTTTCATGCAACGTTTTTTAAAGTATAAGGGGTACCATGCAATTTTTAAAGTACAAGGAGATTTTACGCTGAATTTTGAAACCACAGAGGAGTTATAAGCAATTTTACCTATATTATATTTTATCTCTTTGAAGTGTAAAATATTCTTGTGGAATCTATTGTGAAGGAAATTTTTAATTAATTTTTTTTTTAAAATTTATTGTCTTTTATGGTATAAAAAATAATAATATGTATAGCTTGTATATTCTAGTGATTAATGGATTATATTGTATGATAAATTGAATATTATAGAAATAAGTTTTCTATAATGTATTGTTTTATAATTAATGCATAAATTTTTATATTTTATAAGTAGTGTATTCAATATGTGTTATATCCTCACTTGTTTTGTAGGAGAAAATTCATTATCATAAAAATGAGTTATGATAAAGGAAAATGTGTCAAAGAAATATATGATGAAGATATAAATTTAGATTGCAATGAAATTCGAGAAGAAGATTAGTGGAATAAAATGCTTAATGAATCGGATTTTGAGGATTTTGATTATATGATGGAAGAACAAGATTCGGAGGATGATAGGATTGATCAGTTATTGTTCGAGAGTAATGTGGATATGAATGAGTTTAATGAAAATCAAAGTGTCGTAGTGCACCAAAAAAGATTTAACCATGTTTGTTGACTCCGATGTTGATGAGATGGAGTTGTATGCCATTTATGATACAACGTCAAAGTATGATCCCACATTTAGTCTTGGAATGATTTTTAGCTCTAAAAACGAATTTAAGGAAGCGGTTCAGAATCGCGCTATCAAGACAATGAGAAGTTTGAAATTTGTCAAGAATGATAATGTCCGATGTGCCGTTGAGAACTGCAATTGGAAAATTAATGCGTTAAAGGTGAATGATCAAGCATCTTTTCAACTAAGGACATATAATTGCAATCATGATTGTATGTGCGACTTGAATGTGAATAATGTGAAGTCGACATGGCTTGCAAGGAAGTATGTGTCGTTGTTTTGATCAGATCCTAAACAACGTATAAAAGGGTTTAGGACAGACGTCACATAAGACATTAGATGCAATATATACCAACAGCAAGCATACAGAGCGCTAAAATAGGCACTGAAGGCAATTGAAGGTGATGCTGAAGAGCAATATCAAAAGTTATGGGACTATGCTGAAACTTTACGACAGTCTAATCCTGGGTCAACTGTTTTATGCAATTGGAAGGCGAATTTTTTAATGGACGACGCAGATTTAGCAAGTATTACATATGTTTGAAATCACTTGTGCGTGGGTTTCAGTATGTATGTCGACCTATCATTGAGGTGGATGGTTGTCACCTAAAAGGTCCTTGACAATGCATTATTTTGATTGTTATTGGAATTGATCTGAACAATGAGTTGTTTCCTTTGGCATATGCTGTTGTCGGGAGTGAAACATGCGAAGCTTGAGAATGGTTTTTCACTCTTTTAAGGGAGGATTTGAACATAGAACACGAGGGTTATACTTCTATATCTGACAAACAAAAAGGTCTTGTTTAGGACATGGAAAAGATTTTTCCTCAATGCGAAAAAAGATTTTGTGTTCGACATTGTATGGAAATATGAAAACAGTTGGATTTAAGGGTCTTGCATATAAAAGATTGATTTGGATGGTTGCCGACGCAAGTACTGTCTCTGACTTTGAGGAGGTGATGAAGAAGATTCAAGAGTTAGATCCGAAATGTATTGATTGGCTTGCCGACAAGCCACCGTCTCAGTGGTCAAGATCACATTTTGCTACATTTTCGAAATGTGATATGATCTTGAACAATTTATGTGGATCATTCAATAGTATAATATTAGATGCAAGAGAAATGTCGATATTGCCGATGTTGGAGTGGATTATAAGATATTTATTAACCCAGCTTCAAAAGCGAAGGGAGACGGCGCATAGAAAATGAGGGGATATGCACTTTTGCTCGAAGATAGTAAAAATTATGGAAAAAAAATCCAAGCGGCTTCTTCTTGTGCACCCGTTAAAGTTAATGATTGGTGTTATGAGATTTATTGTTCGGATGGGAATCAATTTGTTGTTGACATTTAAAAAAATCCTGCAGTTGTAGAAAATGAGAGTTATGTGGGATCCCATGTCGCCATGCAATGAGTGCTATATATGGACAACAGTTAAATCCGGAGGATTTTGTTGACGAAATATACAGTGTTGAGACATTCAATAAAGTGTATTCGTATTCTATTGGCGCAATGGATGGTCAAAAAATATGGCCAAAAACTGAATCGCCTCCACCACTTCCCCCAAATGTTAAACGAGCTGCTGGAAGGCCTAAGAAGGCGAGGAGACCGACCCCAATGAAGTAATAGAGAAAGGTCAATCAAGGGGAAAAAAGGTTAGTGAGAGTATTTTACCAAGACAAAAAGTCAGAAGAACTTGCAAATTTTGTGGGCTTGTTGGACATACTTTGAAGGGTTGCCAAAAGAGAATAGCAAGTTTGATCGAATCAAATTCCACGGCGGACGGAATGCAACTTACTGAGGAGTTGTCGCAGAGATGCAATATTCCAGCACAAAGTCAAAGTATCTCAACTCAACAAATTCAACAAGCTGAGACTCCTACAATACAATCTTCCACTGCAAAGTTAACGGTACGCAACTTATGTGGTGTGTTGATATATTGGTACACATATTTATTTTTTGATTACAATAAACTTTTACCGTTTGTATGAAACATGTGAGAAAAAGAACTTTTGGAATTGGTGCAACGACTGAAGGCGGAACATCGATTACAAAATTTTTATTAATATAAATATTTCTTAACAAACAAATTTGAGAAAATAAACACAGCACCCAAACTATGAAAAATTTTATGGACAGAATAATGTCATGTATTGGTTAAGAAGAATAAGCTGGTTTTAGGCGATGGCCGATCGATTGAAAAACATGTAGCATGGTCGGTCATCCTCTTCTTCAACACATCAGCCAATTTAGGGAGCATGTAGTTAAAAAGAGTAGGTTGGTTATTGGGTGATAGCCGATCAATTGAAAAACATGTAGTCTCGTCGGCCATCCTCTTCCAACGCATCGGCCAATTTAGAAGAGCACTTAAAATACATGTAGCCTATTAATGTGCGGGTTGGATGACAATTGACCGATCAATAATGCCTAAAATTCACTAACAAACATCTGCCCAAGATTCAAAATTCATGATCCACTATAATACCGTGTTCAAAAACATCCAAAAAGGGATGTATTTTGAGGTTAAACATGGGTGCGTTACGTAAAAATATGCTCGTGTCGAACACGGCCACTAAAACAGTGGTATTTTAAGGTTCTAGGTATGTATCTTTAAACATGGGAATATTTTTCTTGAACACGCCTGTGTTTGGTTCGGGTAGGACGGTGAATGAGCTGTAGGTTTTAACACGGCCGTATTTTTTGTTACACGGCCATATTCGATCCAACTTAAATTATGGTCTAGAATCCATAACAACCATATCAGAAGAAATTTGAAAGTGATACTAAAAATGATGAGTTCTTTACTGCTTGAATTAATTTTGATATATTTTTTTAGTGAGACCAAATTACAAAAATTTGGTTTGAATGATACTAATATTGATATTTACTCTAAAATGTATAACAAGAGTCTAAATAAGAGCATAATATTATATAATTTGTATTATTTATTATTTATTAATATAATTAAACTTGAAATTGAGTAAAAAAAAATAAAATTAATTAATCTTGTAAATCGGATCTATGTGAGGTCAAGTTTGGATTTCCATCTTAATTGTTACATTCTAGGTTATTAAGTAAGTTTGAAAGCAACGGAATCCTCTGGTTTCTAAAAAATCCTGAACACTCAAATCCAAACCTAAAAACGAATTAGATTGAACAAATTTGTATAACCGATCGAATTCACTTTCGACACCTCTAGTTATAATTATGAACGTCGTAACTCAAATTTAAGATATTCTTTAAGTATCAAACATAACTTCAACCATACTCAATCTAATAATACTCTTCCTTAATGCA